GAGGGAGAGAGAGAGGGAGAGAAAGGTTGGCCCTGAGCTAACATCTGCCAATCCTTCTCTTTTTTTTGCTGAGGAAGACTGGCCCTGGGCTAACATCCATGCTCATCTTCCTCCACCTTATATGGGACGCCACCACAGCATAGCCTGACAAGCGGTGCGTCGGTGCGCGCTCGGGAACCGAACCAGCGAACCCCGGGCTGGCAGCGGAGCGCGCACTTAACCACTTGCACCACCAGGCCAGCCCCGAGTATTACAATTTTTAAAAGTGTAGGTGTGGTTATGATCAATAGAGTTTAAAAATCATTGGAAAATGTGTTTGAGTTTAGAGTAGATTTTGGATAATTTGTATTTTTCTCACATCAACAAAGACCAAAGTGATACTGCTGTCACTTGAGTGTCTTTGAAATGTTTTGACTTTATAAAGGCAATCCTGTCAGAGAGAGGCCTCTGGAGTGTTGTTACTGTTCTTTTTCATGATCCAGCTGCTTGTTAGATGGTTATAGTCACTTAATGATAATTCATTGAGATTTGCACTGTTCTGTGTGTGTGTTGTAGCTGAGTAAAAAGTTGGGCTATTTTGAAGTGGATTGTGAGGGAGTCCTCACAGATCTAAAAGAATTACTGCATTAGATCTCATAAACCTGTGCCAAATGACAGGAGCGTCAACTATAGTTCCTCCCACCCCTCCTGTGTGGGCCAGCTGGTAGGAGGGGTGGGATGGTGTTGCTAGATGCTTTTTAATGGAGTAGTGATGACTTGGGATTATCAGTCTAACTGGGAAGATTCCAGACAGACCAGCAATCGTTCATGTGTCTTATTTTGTTTCTTTAAAAATTTAGGGGGGCCGGCGTAGCGGTTAAGTGCGCACACTCCGCTGCTGGCGGCCCGGGTTTGGATCCCAGGTGCGCACCAATGCACTGCTTGTCAGGCGATGCTGTGGCGGCGTCCCATATAAAGTGGAGGAAGATGGGCATGGTTGTCGGCCCAGGGCCAGTCTTCCTCAGCAGAAAGAGGAGGATTGGCATGGATGTTAGCTCAGAACTGATCTTCCTCACAAGATAAATAAGTAAATAAATAAATAAAAATTTAGGGAACCTTAAACCCAAGCCTACCTTTTCAGCCTCCACTTTTACTGTGATATGAAGCTTCTGTCCCGCTTACAGTCCACTTAAATTTGTTTTATCACAGCAGGATACACATGTACCTTGCTTGTTTCCATTTTGCTATTGTTCTTTATACTTTTATCTTGTGATACAGCTGAGGTTCCACTTATGTAAGAAGCACTCAGCGGACTTATCAGACATACATATTCCTGGCTCCACCCAAGACCTACTGAAAAGTAGTTTCTGCATATGGGGCCCTGAGGATTTTCATTTTAGCAAGTTCCTCAGGCAGCTTCCAGGTGATTCAGAACCACTGCCCTGCCATCTAACCAGGCTTTCAAGCATCAGCTCAACTTTTCTTTCTCCGTGAAGTAACTGTCTTTGCTCAGGAAGATAGATCCCCCTCAGAACTCCTGTCTGTACTTTTCATTCACTCTGGATCTCCTGCAACTGTGTACTTACTTTCTGCAGTTTTGTATGGTTTCTGTGGCCAAGTACTCGAGTCACAAGTACTCAGCTCTGTCACTGTAGTGTGAAAGCAGACGTGGACAGTACATGAATGAATGAGCGTGATTGTATTCCAGTAAAACTTTAATTCCATATAATTCTCACATCATGAAATGCTATTCTCTTCTTTTTCCTCCACCATTTAAAAATGAAATGCTTAGCTTAAAGGCCGTACATAGGTAGACAGCAGACTGGATCTGGGCCATGGACCATAGTTCACAAACCCCGTGCTCTAGATGATCGCCCTAACACAGTGTTGGTCAGTACACAGTATGTATTTGCGTACTGGGTGAATTAATTGTAACACTCATGTTTTGCACAGAGCGTAAGTTACTCATCTTTTGATGATATTAGCTAGTGTACTAAATGGTTCATAAATGTTTGTCGAGTCACTTTTCAACTTTCCCCTCGAGTTAATGCCGGGGTTATCAGTGTTTTCTATTTTCTTAAATCAACTGCTTTTTTTTTCTTGTGTGTTTAAATAGGAAGGCCCAAACAGTCTGATTAATGAAGAAGAGTTCTTTGATGCTGTTGAAGCTGCTCTTGACAGACAAGATAAAATAGAAGAACAGGTATGGTATATCTATTATTAACCTTTCTAACACTAGGCATTCCTTGATGTTTGTTATTTCATATAAATAGAATTTGAAAATCATGAACCTGATCACCTAGAAAATGAACTGTATCTACATTGAATCAGAAACATAGAAGAATTTTTATAAGTCAGTTCCTTCATTGATCAATTTCCAAGCAATATAAAGAAGACCAATGATTGGTGAAAGGAAGCGTGCACAGTTAACATGAAGTTAGATGGAAATATTGACTCCTTTATTGCTTTCACTACCTTCACCTTCAGTGGCTTCCTCACTTTTAACGTTGCTCAGTGTTTTATCGTCATTAAATTCATAGCAGTTATACCCGGCTCCTTCTGTGGAAATTGAAGGAAAGCATTTCTTAAATCCGTTCACTCTACTTCCAAGATTAATTTGATCTTTTGCCTTTTTTAATTCTGCAACTATGCAGTTACTGTATCTTACCACTAGATGGTACTTAAGGATGAATTTCAGTTAACTCTTCCCAGGCCTTAAGCATCTTGCAAATAAGTCATGTGTGTATCAGTTTTATACTGCAAATAAACTTCCATAGAAAGTTGGCTTGCTCATTCCCTGTCATTGCTAAAGCAGCATGGCCGCCGTGCCCACTTACTGCTCTGTCCACCTGAGGCTTAAATCCCCTGTAGTAGTGACTGTTTGCTTTTCATGTTTATTTTTCATTATGTTTTTTCTAAATCAGTGATAAAAAGTTCATGTCACATTAATTATAAAGCTTATTACTCAATTTTTATACCCTGAAAATGCTACACAGCACTCCATAAGAGTGGGAACTTGTAGTTCCTAAATGGGCTCTAATTTTGGATGCCAAAAGTATTACCAATGATGCCATTGGTAATTTGCCAAAGGATTGCCAAACGATGAAGTAGCATCATTGTGTTTGGTTTTTTAGGGGTTTTTTTTTTCCTTCGCTGTGGTTTTTTTATCCAAGATGTGTTATTTTGGGACGAATAGTGAACTATGTGGTCAAGACAACATTGGTCTTATTCTTAGTTTTGCCACTGACTAACTCTGTATCTCTAAACTTAACACTTCAATTCTCTGGGCCTTGATTTCTAATCTGAAACAAGGGGTTAGACAAGATGATTCATCATCCCTCTGCTTCCAAAATGCTACTCTACTGAATATCAGTATGGTGGTTGAGTTGGAGTTGAAGAGGATCAATGAAACCTTCTGTATGCTTTAGAAAAGAGAAATATTCATGGGGCTCTCAACTCATTTAATTTCAATCTATTCTCTACAAAACAAGTCATTAAACAGACCATGATTTTCCTTGCCTAAGGAGTCAGTATGGTTCCAGGCACATCAATGTGACAAAAATAATTACAGTGTGGTAGTAATGCTCTAGACTAGTAAGCCTCAGTAATCCATGAAATCACTTCCAAAGGTTCAGATCATTTCCCTCATTGTACGGTGTAGATAGGACACAGGGCTCTCAACAGCACAGCCACTACATAGGTATTCTGTAGTGACACATTTTTGAGTTTACGTTGTTTTACATTGTTTGCCAACATAGGGAAAGACTTATGCAATAAAGTGTTACTGAGAAATGAGATCTTAGCAGATGTGTTCAGATAGTGTTGAATAGAAATTACCAGTTGTCTTCTGCATAGTTGGAAGATGAGTACACACGCAACACAGCACACTTTCTGGTATGTTATATTTAGTAAATATTTATTGAATAAGTGAGAAGAAATTAGGCAAGCTGAGGAGGAGGAAGGAGATTAAGTGGCAGCTGAACAGTGAGATGATGGGATGAAGGCAAAGAGGAGACAAAGATATACATGATATGTTCTTTGAAGCAAACAATGATATTGGTTCAAATGAAACAGCCCTGATGACATGGAATGATTGGAATAATTTGGCCAGAGTTTGGATAAGAAAATTACTTTGGCAGCAGTGTAATATTGGCTCATGGTAGCTTGGCACGCTCCACTTGAGCAGCCCAAGTTCGGTTCCCGGGCATGGACATAACACCACTCATCAGCGGCCATGCTGTGGCAGTGACCCACATACAAAATAGGGAAAGTTTGGCACAGATGTTAGCTCAGGGCAAAGCTTCCTCAGCAAGAAATGAAATAAAATAAACTAGAAAAAATTTATTAAAAAAAAAAAAAGATTGGCTCATGGTAAATGATGCCATACTGATATTAGAGAGTCTGACTAGGAGCAAAATCAAAGAAATAATCCCTGGTCGAAGGTAGTATTTATGAAGTCCAAAAGAAGAGATTGAATTTGGGATACATGAAGTAAGTGTCAAGATTTGGCAAGACTTGTATCTTTAGAGTAGTTTCAGAATTCAGATATATTTACAAGTACTAAAGTTTTCAGTAATTAAGTGTTGGTAGTTCCAGGTTATAGTATCCATTCTCAAGCTGCAAAATATACTTTAAAACCTTCCCATCTTAACATTATATTTTATTTTTTCTGAGTCACAGAGTGAAAAGGTCAGGTTACATTGGCCTACATCCATGCCATCTGGAGATGCCTTTTCATCTGTGGGAACTCACAGATTTGTCCAAAAGGTAAGCTAATCTCTGAGTTTACTGAAAATATATGTTGTATTGTTCTTCACTGTTGGTGGAATTATCTTGTATAAATTTTCTTCCTTTTCTTGAATTTTGGTAGTGAGATTTTTTTGGTAGGATATGTTTTCTTCCGTATACATCCTCCAAAGGAGTTAGAAATCTTCTTCTGAACATAATGTTCTTTCTTTTTTATTTAAGGGGAAAGGGGGGGGGTGGGAGTAGATAGGGAGTGGCTAGTACAAAATAGTTAACCAGAAGCATAGCCAGTGATATTAAATCTTGTTTTCCTTTGGGGTTAAGTGGTATTGTTTTTGTATCATTGGAAGCACTGCGTTCTCTTTAGAAAGATTGGGAGCATAACGCACAATAGGTGCGTGAAGTCAGCACTTGCTGCTGAGCTTGTGTCATACGGTGCTTTGTTCTCTCTTCCTTGATCTTGTGTTTGGAAGTTGGTGCTGAATGCTCTGTTGTGCCTTTGTTCTGATGACTTGGTTTTTTCTTTGTCTGTCTCTGGTAGCCCTATAGTCGCTCTTCCTCCATGTCTTCCATTGATCTAGTCAGTGCCTCTGACGATGCTCACAGATTCAGCTCCCAGGTACTGTATGAATGTTTAGAGTGGACTTGAGTCTTTCTGTGCTATATTTCAGCCTGCTTTCCCAGTTCCTAGAAATCTTTTGGTTAGGCCACTAGTTTTGGTTTTGAATTTTAAATAGTAACAATAAGCATTAAAAAGGCCTTGCTCGTCTACTAAATAGTTCTTCTATCAGGCTTGCATGTGCCCTTTGTATCCTCTACTGTGAATGGCTTGGAATTTTGCCATATAGAAGGTACTCCTGGAAGATTCCAGACTGAATTGAAATAAGTAGAAGGGACCTGCTTTTTAAATATCATGTAATATCTGTTTCTTCAGACAAAATTGAGTGCCTTTGAGGGACATGGTCTATAAGATACATTATAGCATAAAAGCAGGTTTCAGCAGTCTCGCTTCAACTAATCTAAAATATTTCATAATTATATTCAAGAGCAAAATAACTTTTTAAATAAAATTTGTCTCATTACCATTATAATATTAAGTTCCAGTTAAACAGGTTGTATTTTCCTTATGCAAATTATCTTTGGATATTATAAGTTAATATTTCTGTCCATATGCTAAATTTATGGAAATTGGTTTTAAGTTATTTAGCATCAATAAGGATTTAGGAATTTAAGACAGGAAGCTGGATGCTTGCAGTCTCTGCCCTTATAATAAAATCAGAGTATCATCGGAGGAATACTTTTTAGCATCAGCATTAGTTAAAACAATTTTTTTTTATCTTTAGCATTCAACTTTGTATCTTTATGGTGATTGCATTTTATTGGATTGTTTTATGTTATCTTACATTAAGAACCTGAGCTCTATAGTCAAAATGACTGAGTTTAAATTCTGGTTAGCTGCATGGTGTTGGACAACTTTTCTGACTCTCCTTTGCTTCAATTCTGTGGTCCAGCTAGAGCCTGGCACACAGTGAGTGCTCAATAAGTGTGAGCTTTCATTAGCTCTATAAGAACATTATTTCTTTGAGTTAATCAAAATGATGTACATTTTTTTCTCCATCAGTATTCCAATAAAAGTTTTTAAAAGTCATAATTTAAAACAGATTTCTATTTTGTGTAAACATGAATAAAATTTACGTTGGGTTCTTTTGTTTGTTTGTTTGTTTGTTGCTGAGGAAGATCGGCCCCAAGCTAACATCTGTTGCCAATCTTCCTCTTTTTTTGCTTGAGGAAGATTCGCCCTGAGCTAACATCTGTGCCAGTCTTCCTCTATTTTGTATGTGGATTGCTGCCACAGCATTGCTGATGAGTGGTGTAGGCCTGCACCCGGGATCCGAACCCACAAACCCGGGCCACCGAAGCGGATCACGCTGAACTTAACTACTACACCACGGGGCCAACCCTTACATTAGTTTTTGACTATACAGTAAAGAAGAAAATTAAATTTTAAGACTCAGAATGTCTTTTTCTGACTTTTGCAGCTTTTTTTCTCCTTGAACATTTTGGAGAAAGAGATTTATCAGTTCTTCATCAGAAATCACCATAGCCAAACTTATTACAGTATTTCTTACCTTTTGCTCATCCGTGTATGCATACTTTTTAAAAAGTGGCTCATGTTGACAATAAATCAGGGACAAAACTAGGTAATACTGGGAGACTTTGGTTTATTCTGCTCAGCTCTAGCTTGCATTAAAATAATAAAATAACAGAATAACTAAAAGCCACCAGTACTGGGTGCCATTTTCCCTTAAAATATAAGAAAACACAGGTTATAAATGAAAAGAAATGTAATGAGAGCAAGAAAAGAATGTAAGCTCCTGATGGGTGCCTAAGAATGAGGGCTTCTGAACCCAGACCTGGGCCCCAGCCATGGAGCTCTAGAACAACTAATACCCTTCAAGTACAGATGAATACGTCTCTGAGAAGGAGGTGCCCAGATTTGTACAAGACTTTGCCAAATCGTAGCTTACTTCTTTACGTAATTTTTTGTGTAACTCATGTACATAAGTTGAGAAAAATCTTTCTAGTGGATATTTTTCTAATATATGATACTTGTGATTGGTCAAATTCTGTTTTTAGCTTTTGATTATTGTACCATTTTATATGCCAAAACAGGCAAAAATAAAGAAAAATAACATTCAGGTCTTTAAGTATGGTCCTTACAGAAGTATTTGTTGTCATTAGCAGACTTGGGCTCTGGTGATTAACTATTGATTAATTTGGCTTTGCCATCTACATACGTGTCTTGGCTCATAACTGCTTTGTTCTTGTTGAAATGATGTTTATAGTCCTAATGGGGAAGGGTAATTATATGTAAAACTGAGAGAAGCCCTGAAAATAATTTCAAATAAAGTATGTGGATCTCCTAGGAAGTTAGTAGTGATGCAAGAGTCTGTCTGATGGACACTACTGGGAGTGAGTAGCGCTAAATCAAAGTGCACACAAAGTAGACAGGACTTGATTTATGAATGGCTCTTTCTGATCAAATTTATTTGCATAACACAGTTACTATCTAAAGATGTCGCCTCAAAAATCAAAGTGAAAAAAAATAATCCTCTGTTAAAAAAAGAAATCAAAGGGTGGGCAGTACTCTGCAGGTTAATTTATGGTGAACATCATTGCACATCAGTTTTGTGTAAAGCTTTTTCCCACTGTATGTCCATACCAATGCATTATTGTGGTGGTAATTATGTATTTCACTCCTTCCTTTTTATTGTACAAGTAGTACATGCTAATTGTAGCTGAACTAGAAAGTAAGTTAAAATACTAGATCACTGTTAATATTCTCATACATATTCTTTTTCCATATATATTTTTAAAAATCAGGCACATATTGATAAATTCACAAACCTTATTGTCTTTTTCTAGAAAATTAGGTAATTCTGTATATACTATTTTGTAACCAGCTTTTCTTTTTTTTAACATATAATTAGGCCCATCTTCCCATCAGTAAATATAGGTCTATATCTCCTTGTCTATTATATGGATATGCATACTGGGTTTGCCTACTCAACTAATATTGAACATTCTGTTTGTCTCCATTATACAAGGTGCTACATAAGCATCCTTGTATATACAGCATCCTTATATATACATCTTTGTACACTTATCCAATTATTTTCTTAGAATGTATTCCAAGAAGTAGAATTGTTAAGACAAAGGGCATGCACACTTCGAAGTTTTTTCATTTTTATTGCCAAACTGTTCATTAGAAAAGGTGAACCAGCTACACTCCCAGGTCAATTTTCTTTTGCTATACTGACACTGAATGTTTTAATTCAGTTAATTTTTGTCAATCTGGTAAACTAAAAGTGTTATTTTTGCTTCTTGGCTGTTTGCATTTCTTCAGTGAATTGACTGTTCGTGTCCTTGGCCATTTTTCTTTTGGGTTAACAATACAATGTTAATTTGTCATTAATAAATTATTCTATCCAACCAATCCCTCTATGACTCTCTGACTACACGTGTAACAGTAAACAGTTGTATTCCTTTCACATGGCTAAGAGGAAGAGGTCTGAGCTGTGTTTGACTTTTGTTCATTAGAATTTTGTTGTACCATCAGAGGGCAATTTTCTTTAAAAGTTCTGTATTAAAGTTAGAAAAATCTAATTAGATAGCCTCCTAAAATGGCATACTGAATGATTCAAATGTGAGGTGGAAGAAAAGGTTAGAATTGGAGTGCTATCACCTCTTATTTCAAATTTGTTTTATCTCCGTTTTTTTCATAGTTCATTTGGATTGAAGATGCTGTGTGTGTTAGCTCATCATTTTCAACTCTGGGTGCAAAAAAATAAAGAGCGTGGTTCCTGAAATTATGCTTAGTCTAATTAAAACTTGCAAACACTGTTAAAGCAGGTACAGCCTGCTTCAATGACTTTGATCTAGTCTTTTTTTTTTTTTTTACATGATAGCAGATGTTTCTAGTAACATTTTTTCCTAGTGTATCAAATTTTAAGCCTAATGAAATGGTAAATTTGGCTTATATTTATTCTTGTCATCCAAATTAATGGTCTCATTTCCTACTTATTTTTGATATACAGAGTCATAACTGAAAACAGTAAACAGAGCAGATCATTAGGTTAGGTCTGAAGTGTCAGTATGGGCACAAATGCCCAAGTCCCTGCCCTTGTATAACACTGGCTACTTCATATGTCGTTGCAGTGAACAGAAAATTCATTACAGTGAGATTTACCTGTGTCACCTCTCTTCTTAACCTTAATGTTATTGCCTCAAGGAAGATGCCATAATGGATAAAGATTCCATGATGAAGGCTTTGCACGGATGGTTATTTTACTGAGTAAAAAGTGCACGAAGAGACCATCTAGTCCAGTGTTCCTATATGTAAGACTACATAGAGATTTAGAAAGTTGGCTAGACATCAAGATTTCCCTACAAAAAGATAACAAAAACTTTCATTACTTCACTGATAAACTCTTATCACGAATATAAGCCAACTCAAACCCCCATTTGATTCCAGTTTCACCATTCATTCCGTGAATTTATACTTTGAGACATCATGTCTGTAAGGAAGCGTTGTATGGTAAAGGAAGGAATATTTCTTTTTTTCCAGAAAGTGCTTATTTTGGTCACTTGATGCACATTAGGGCGGTATATGTAATTTGAGTGAAGCATCTTCCTTCCCCACATTTTTCCCTCCTGTCATTAACTTGAATATGATATCTGGAATGTGGACTAAACTCTTCAACACTATATAAAACCTACTAACCTTCGTGCCTTTTGGTTGCTCAGTTTCTAAGAACATCATTTCTGAACTGAAGTAAACTGAATACCATTCTGTTTTAGAGATTATGACAGAGCTGTTAATTGGATGTGGATTCTTATGGCTTTATTTTTCTTTTCAAGGTTGAAGAGATGGTGCAGAACCACATGACTTATTCGTTACAGGATGTAGGTGGAGATGCCAATTGGCAGTTGGTTGTAGAAGAAGGTGAAATGAAGGTAATTCCCAATGAAAGGTTATAGGTTCCTAATTGCAGCTCCTATGCAGTCATATTAGCATTACCATTGATAGAAATAAGGATAGCATTTTAAAATTACTTTTAAACAGTTATTGTATATGATCAAAGAACCACCAGATATTGAGAAATAAAACGTGCTTTTGCTTCCCTGGTTTAGCTTTTACATAATTTCTTTATGATCAAAATATAAATCTATGCACAAACCATTCTGTTTTGCCTAGGCTGTGGAGAAAATAAAATTTGGAGGTTTAGATATGAGCAGGTCACAATTCAGTGATGACTCTCTGTATATTTCTCTTTATTTTTTTTTTACTTGTTTTTTTTTCCTGGGGAAGAGTTGCCCTGAGCTAACATCTGTTGCCAGTCTTCCTCTTTTTGCTTGAGAAAGGTTCGCCCTGAGCTAACATCTGTGCCAGTCCTCCTCTATTTTGTATGTGGGTCGCCGCCATAGGGTGGCTTGATGAGTGGTGTATGTCCGTGCTCGGGATCCAAACCCGCAGACCCGGGCCACCAAAGCAGAGCACACAGGGCTTAACCACTGCACCACGGGGCCAGCACCTTTTTTTTTGTTAATATACTAAATATTGTGCTCAGATGTCACTTTCTTCCCCTCTTTGGTCTATACCTCACTTTTTGGCCTTTCTCTCACAGCATCTTTTTTTTTTTTTTTTTTCCACTGAGGAAGATTGGCCCTGGGCTAACATCCGTGCCCATCTTCCTTTGCTTTATATGTGGGACGCCTGCCACAGCACGGCTTGATAAGCAGTGCATAGGTCCACACCCAGGATCCGAATCCGTGAACCCTGGGCCACTGAAGTGCAGCATGCAAAGTCAACCACTACACCACTGGGCTGGCCCCTCACTGTGTCTTTTTTTGACATGTGGACATTGGTCAGCTAATCTTGCTCACATCCCTAAACACAAGAGACAGAGAATAAGAGCAAGGAACAAGAGGCTCAAAGGTGGATTAAACAGCAGCAGCAGCAGCAGCACTGGATTTTGGACTACCTCACGCCTAGGGCACTATACTAAAGATAAAGAGATGTTTAGTAAGACTCCCTCCAAGCTGAAACTTTAGTTGGGGAAAGAAGATACTGATATTTAAAAGATACCATTCCTTGACTCCATTCGATAATGAATTGAATGAAGAGTGCAGATGAGTAGTGGAGAAAAATTGGAAAAGAAAGATCTCTGTGATTTGAAACAATTAGCTTGTTTTACGCTAAGGAGAAGCTTTTGAACTATGTCTGCAAATGGAAACAAGGTTGTGACAAAGGTGAGGTGAGGCTGTTTTAGACAAGAAATATAACATGAGCAAAAACTTGAAAGCTTATGTCTTATTCAGGAGTTTTGTGTAGACTGTGTTGACTACTGTGAGATACAATACTAGTCACTAGAATTTCTACTCCTCCTAAATAGGGAACAAATTAAGAAATAAGAGGAGACAAGTAAATGAGATATCAAAATGTTAGTTATAATTCTGATAAGCTAATTGGAGAACATGGAGAGCAGCTGCCACAAGGTCTTGCCAACAAGTTAACCCAGAATTAAATATAATGTTTCTGACATAGCTGGATAATCACAGCCCTTCCCTACAAGAGCAAGCCCCAAAAGCAGACCAGGATGCATGCTCCCTGCAGAAGAAGCAGTTGAGCCAAGCCTGCCTAGTCTGCCTTCTGTAGTCGCCATTCAGATAAGTTACTTTCTTCCCCCAGGAAGGAAATGAAGGGGTGAGGAGAAACCAGAGTGATAGTCTAGAAGAAGTCCCTCCACGTGGGATGAGGAGTGGAGAATAAGTGCTCCTACAAACCACAACTTTAGAGAGAGAAAAATTGGAGTTGGGTTATGGGGAATATAAAATAACCCACTGAAGAGAATAGTCTGTTTTCTGTAACAGCAGGTTAGCCACTATATGCGAAGTACCATTTTAGGAGGATTAAGCTGATAAGGGAAGAAATTAGAAACAAGAAAACCACCTAAGAGAGTCAGGTAGAAGATGATGAAAGCCTGCCTAGAAGAGGTAACCAATGGCAGAAAAGTCAAGCTGTTGGATGTCTTATGAAGATTAGTAGTAAGCTGAATAGCTATGTGAAGTGTGAGGGAGGAATCAAAAGTCTCGAGTTTCCAGTTTGGGTGACTGGGAAAATTGCAGGCCCAATCACATGAATAAATAAGCATGTAGGGAAAGGTAGTTTGGTGAGAGAGATTGTAAAAGAGAAGCTCTGTGAACTGCCGCCCAGTGTCTGGCCCCACAGGCGTCCATAAATGGGGCTCTAATTCTCCCTGTGACAGCATATGTATTTTTTTCCAAAAGAACTTATTACAGAGCTCTCTAAAGTAGCTAACCCTCTGTCATTTTGAAATAATTAATTTTACTCAATACTTTAGGTACACAACCTCAGTATCTAAAGCGAGATAGCAGGCCGGCCCCGTGGCTTGGTGGTTAAGTGTGCGTGCTCCGATGCTGGTGGCCCGGGTTCGGATCCCGGGTGCACACCGAGGCACCACTTCTCCGTCCATCCTGAGGCCGAGTCCCACATACAGCAACTAGAGGGATGTGCAGCTATGACATACAACTACCTACTGGGGCTTTGGGGGAAAAAATAAATAAATAAAATCTTTAAAGCGAGATAGCATAGATCTTTATGTCATTTTAGCTTTCAGTTGTTGGTTCAACAAATAACTGAGTGCCTGCTGTGTGTCAGATACTGTCCATATGCTGAGGGTACAGCACTGAACAAAGCTGTGTTCAATCAGTATCCCTGAGGAGAGGAGGTTCTAGCCACGCTTATTGGCCTTTTTAGCCATGTTGAACAGTCTTTGAGAATGTTCCGTTAATAATGTCTAATTTAAATTAATATATTTATTTTTTAACAACTCTCTCTAGTTATTTATCACATAGGCATATTTTTCATAGTTGACGTTTACCTCGGATTGGTAGTTTTAAATATTTTTTATGTGTTGTCTGTGTTAAGAATTTGAAATTTTAACTTTCTTTTAGCAGAATATTTGTTCCATAAGTAGATTTTCATAAATAAAATTCTAAAAAGCAGCTAAATTTAAAAACATGCTTTCAAGTTTGTACTTTAGGGGTTTGATTTTTGTTTTTTAAGCAGGTTTTTAAATATGTCCTCTTTAGGTATATAGAAGAGAAGTAGAAGAAAACGGGATTGTTCTGGATCCCTTAAAAGCTACCCATGCAGTTAAAGGCGTCACAGGACACGAGGTCTGCAGTTACTTCTGGAATGTTGACGTTCGCAATGATTGGGAAAGTAAGCTGCCGTTACTAGTGTATTTTAATATAATTATTATTTTGAATTTAATACCAAATCCAACCTGGTTTTCTGCGTCTGATCTATAGTTTACAAGGTCATTGTAGAAAACATCTGGAGGAGCATATAAGGAACTGATGATACATTACATTTAAATAGAGCTTTTCATTGTATAAAATGCTTCTCAGTATATTATAGCATTTGATCCAATACCTCAATAATCTTGCATGATAGGTAGGTAATAAAGAAAAAATCAGATAGGTCAAGTGACTTGTCAGAGGCCACAGAACTAGCCAGTGGAAAAGCCAGAACTAAAATTAAAAGTTTCTGTTTTATCATCTACTCTTTAGACTGTTTTGTTTCCATGGTAAATCCTAGATGAATCCTGCTGTAGTTTCTTTACAGTTATTCTTGGTGTATGTGTGTGTGTGTATTTCCCATAGGCACCAAATTTCATGAATACAGATATTTCTGAACATCATAAGGTGTTTGTCAGTGGCAATTTGACCTTCTTTTTTCATAAATATAGTCCCCTATCCTAGATAGAACAGTTTATTCAGCTTCAGTAAATTAGGAATTATATGGAAGGGTCATAGTGTTGGGGAATAATTTGTGCCTGAGTAATGCAGTAGTGATTGGAATTGCTTTCTTGCTGTGGAAGCTAGATATTGGACCAAAGAAAATGAGGTTTCCTAGTGATTTGGTCTCACAGCCACCATCTAAAGCCCTAATAACTAAGTATTGACTACTTTCCATGTGGTCTTCACCTAGGTAGGGCAGAATCCTCTTTGTTTTACCACAATGTCCATTTGTAATTGACTTTTCAGTGTAAGTGAATTAATCACATTCTAGGAAAAGATAATATATCTCTTTGGCTGCTAATATTTTCTCTTCATTTCAGCAACTATAGAAAACTTCCATGTGGTGGAAACATTAGCTGATAATGCAATCATCATTTATCAAACGCACAAGGTAAATATCTCCTCATCCCAAAAGGATTCCAGTGCAGTTCAAACTGAGACATGTAAATTCTCTAAAGTAAAATTTGGCAGGAAATTAAATGCCGCAAAAGATCCAAAGACTTTATTAATAATTCATAAATGTCGTGTATTTGAAAGGTGTATCAACTCATTTAAAGCAGAAATGGGTGCAGGCAAGAACCTGAGAAATACCCAGAAACAGTGTTTGATAAAGATCTGCAGTTAGTTATGCACACTTTAAGTCTAGAAAAGAAAATACCGCAATCTATTTAAATATTTTTCTAGCATCTGGTTTCTATAGGAGATAAATGATAGTTGTCATATATGAAAGTGAATCATATCAAATATGAAAGTTCCTGTGACAACAATAGTAAGGGGAATGGGAAGTATGCTGTTAGACTAGAAGATATGAAAGTGATCTAATTGGATTATCTGAGAGCAAGGGAAAATTGCTGAGCATGACTATTGGGAGGTTGGTCATACACCAGAGCACACAAAAACACTGTCATTTAAATTGGTTCCCTTTCCCTTCCTTTCTTCCTCTGCTAGTCTAGGTATTTAAAAATATAAAATTAACATTTCTCTCACCTTATTCTTCTCTGTTCTCCTTCTAAAAATTGCCAAATATAGTAAATAAAGAATAATATAAAATGAATTTAAATTTTGGAGAGATCCACTAAGAGCAATATTGTATGTTATATAAGAAATATAATGATTCAATAAATGCTTCATTTTTCTCTTTTTTAAATGATTTTTTAGCTGAATATATGAAAATATTTGAGGTTTGCTGTGTTGCTTGAGCTCAGTCTTGTCATCTGAGGCATCGTATCTTATATCTAGTGACTGTGAGTTAGGCTTTATTTTATATGAGAGCTGCTCAAGAAATGTGTAATAGCAAAGATGCTATTTCAGCCTACAGATTTAGGGGGGGGGTCTAAGTGAAATCTAAAATTTAGTAGATGTTAAAATATCAATTAATTATCCTATAATTTGGAATTAAAATAAATAACCAATAATTTAGAATCAGAAGAATCTTATTATCTGAAGATAATTTCTCCTGGAAAACAATCTGCTGAAAGTATTTCACTTGGTAAATAATAGATGGAGGGGAAGATTATATAGGTTGTGTTAGGATTACTTCTTGAAAAATAAAACTAAAAATTATTAAAATAATGTATCTTATATGTAACAAAATTTAAGTTACAGTTATAATTATTTGAATAAAGAAATTGCCCTGGGGCCGGCCCCGTGGCTTAGCGGTTAAGTGTGCACGCTCCGCTGCTGGCGGGCCGGGTTTGGATCCCGGGCGCGCACCGACGCACCCGCTTCTCCAGCCATGCTGAGGCCGTGTCCCACATACAGCAACTGGAAGGAAGTGCAACTATGACATACAGCTATCTACTGGGGCTTTGGGGGAAAAAAATAAATAAATAAAATTATTAAAAAAAAAAAAAATTGCCCTGGCGTACTTTTTCCAGCAAAATCCAATAACGCTATGTAACATCTTTTTCTTTAAATTTGGCGTCTTTTAAATATGGTCTTAAAGAGGGCTGCTTTATCTCCTGATATTTGTTATTCTCATTCTTTAAATTTCTGTCTTATCATCATGCTTGTGGATTTGCATTTATTAGGTCTAATATGACCAAATTTTCATTTATTTTTCGCTTCACATAGATTTGCCCAACACTACTTTCATCAGCTTCATGAAATTTTCTATCTTTGAAAGATGAGCCATTTCACTTTGCAAATGATTTGTGTGGTGTCAATGCTGAGTTGTTGGCTATTTATTATACTCAGCAATCAAGAAAGACACTGTGCATATTTTCTCTCATTTAAGTTTGTAGCCCAGTTTCAGAGACCTAGGTTCCCTGCCATTGCAACTGCGTATGTTGTTCCTTGCATACCATAAAGCTGAAAGATTCGATCTGGAATTCTTCCAGTGTGATTTTGATGTCAAAAGAGCAGTCTTCTTTCCCTAAAATCTTTGCTTTTAAGTCTCTGAACAATTTAAACAGAGGTTTAATACTATACCTAAAAGCAGGTACTGTGCTTACCAGCGGCTGTGGGAGGAGAGGTAACAGGGAGTAATTGCTTAATGGGTACAGAGTTTCTGTTTAGGGTGATAAAAAATTTTGGAAATAGATAGTGGTGGTGTTTACATAACATTGTGAATGTAACTCATGCCGAATTTTACACTTAAAAAATGGTTTAAATGGCAAATTTTATATATATATATTACCACAATTTTTAAAAAAGAAAAAAATCGAACATTATTCCTTTGGTATTGTTCTGCAAAGCCGTTAACTCAGTGTTCATAATTAATCCTTTGGTGGGTATTCTCAGATGCTTTCCGTTTAAAATTTGATGGATTTTACCTTTAACTAAGGCATTTATTGGTTTTACATTTGTTTCTCTGTTAGTTCCATATTACATATTATTCTTCCACAGAGAGTATGGCCTGCTTCTCAGCGAGATGTATTATATCTTTCTGCCATTCGAAAGATACCGGCCTTGACTGAAAATGACCCAGAAACTTGGATAGTTTGTAATTTTTCTGTGGATCACGACAGTGCTCCTGTAAGTACGCTGTATAAACGTGTATAGTTCTACAATATAAAGTTAAAGATACATTGCAGGGCAGAAGTGGTAAACACATACCACACACACAGATACTTGATTTGATAATGCTTCTTAAATTCTATTTTATGTTGGATTGGCTCCTTGGAGCAGTACAGCCCATCTGTTATCTGAGGGCAGCAGTCATGGCTGTGAACATCCCAGCAGGGCTGCTTACCTGTTCTCCTGAGCGTAGGTGAGACAGAGTTGAGTGGGTACCATATGGAGGCTGCTTCTCACAGTTGCCTCTCAAGCCATGATCAGTCTTTGCTTTCTACCGCAATTTAGTTCCATTTACTACTCAGGAGGAGAAATCATTCCTGGTGTCATATCAGCTTGGCGTGTGTTATTTATTGGTGCTTATAAGATTTTCTTAGAGATTTTGATGAGTTACGATTATAGTTAATGTAATGTAGAATTAGACTGGTAGAGATTACAAAATACTTGGTATCTACTCTACTGGTGTTTTCTTTAATTTTTTGTTTTGACAGCTAAACAATCGATGTGTCCGTGCCAAAATAAATATTGCTATGATTTGTCAAACCTTGGTAAGCCCACCAGAGGGAAACCAGGAGATTAGCAGGGACAACATTCTATGCAAGATTACGTATGTAGCTAATGGTATGTATTTTGTTGTTTGTTTTTGCCACTTGGTAGTGTGGGTGTTCTGGTGATGATCTACATGATAGCTGACAGTCTGGACAAATGCCATTTACAAATACCTGTTTAGTTTTTATCCTTTAGATTAGTAATTTTAATTTGGATAGATGTATATGAGAATTATCAGGAAGCTTTCAAAATACACATGCCTGAATTTCATCTAGAACTGCTATATCAGAATTTCTGAAGCTAGGGCTGGATAGGTAAATTTTAAAACTTCATCTCTAGATCACTATCACATATCCTTGGTTTTAAGAACCATTTTATTAGATATTTACCTAATAGGGTATATGTATAATTAGGAATATAAGCAACAGTAGGAAATGAAATTAACAGTTCTTTTTCTTATTGTCAGTCTTGTTAGTTTTCTAAATCATTGCTCCCTAATCCTTATTAGTTGCTAGTTACGTATTTATTTCACATTGGCCTGCTACTAGACAGCCGTGTTCATCGCATAGTATTTGGTTCCTTACGCATTTCCCTGCGGTAGTTATGGGAGTCCCTCTAATCAAATACTCAAACCTCCTTCTTTATATAGGGCCATAACTACTAGTGTGTTTAAAGAGATAATTATGCTTAAGTTACTCTTTGATTATAGTAGAATTTGATGAATAAATCTGCCTTAAGTAACCTAAAGTGTTGCTATACTAATTTTTGCATATAATGTAGGGAAGCAAGAACATTTTAGAAAGGTAATAGACGCTTTCTTATTTGCTATCTGTTCTTGTCTGGTGGTTAGTATTAAGGAATTTATGGTCAAGACTTTGAGGTGCTAACTGTTCCAACGTAAGGAATTTTTTAAAAGCGAAGAAACAAAATGAGTGCTTCATATGTATTTGGAGAATTATATCTTAACAGGTTTTAATTTTCCTTTATCTTGCAGTGAACCCAGGAGGATGGGCACCAGCCTCAGTGTTAAGGGCAGTGGCAAAGCGAGAGTACCCAAAGTTTCTAAAACGTTTCACCTCTTATGTGCAAGAGAAAACTGCAGGAAAACCTATTTTGTTCTAGTATTAACAGGTACTGGAAAATACGTTATCCTTTTTTTTAAACTTTATTTGACTAATATGACTCTGCAGATATTAAAATTTAGTTAATTGTTGAAACTACTTTCTGTGTTTTATGATGTTCCAGATAGCGTTGTAGTTTTTATAGCCTTTGAATTCTGTTTTTTCATTTGTTTCTTCTTATACTAGATAGTACCTGCTTATTTGAAGAAATTTCAACATTATAGAACTATAAAATTTCAGAAGTACAAATTCTCTTTATTTCTCCCTTCCCAGAAATTACTGTTGGGTTTGTTGTATATTCTTCTAGACTTTTATATGTATGTACAGACACATATTCTTGATTGTTTTTTTTTTATTGATGTTTTAATAGTTTTTAACATTGTGAAATTTTGGGTTGTACATTTTTGTTTGTCCATC